TGATGCCATCTCCCTAACCTCAATTTTGCATGTTCCTAAGCTTAGTGCTAACTTGCTTTTAGTTAGTAGTATTACAAAAAACCAAAATTGTTCAGTAACCTTTTTTCCTGACTGTTGTGTTTTTCAGGATCTGGAAACAAAGAAGGTGATTGGGATTGGCCATGAGATGAATGGAGTTTACCTGTTTGATCATCCACAGGGAAAATGGAGTGAGGTTGGGAAATCATTTGTCTCTCAGTCTTGGAGTCAAATTATACTTTGGCATAATAGCTTAGGTCATTTATCTTTTGGGTCTTTAAAGAGTGTTTTCGGGTTTATTTGAGTCAGTCCAAGTGTCTAGTTTGAAGCGTGAAAGTTGTGAACTTGCAAAACACTATAGATCAACTTATCCTTTGAGTTATAAAAGAAGCAATCTTCCTTTTGAAATTGTGCATACAGATGTTTGGGGGCCATATCATACTCCTACCATGGGAGGGCACAGTTATTTCTTATTATTTGTTGATGATTGTACCCGCTTCTCATGGGTTTACCTTATGCACTCTTGAGATGAGGTCCCTTCTTTGACCTAGGCTTTTCATCAAATGGTTTTGACCTAGTTTGAAATCAAGATCAAAATTCTTAGATTTGACAAGGCCAAAGAGTACTTTGCAAAACCCTTGGCATCATATCTCCTAGATCATGGGGCCATTCATCAGAGCACCTGTCATCGTACACCTCAACAAAATGGGGTTGTTGAGAGAAAAAATAGACATATCCTAGAGGTAGCCAAAAGCATCATGCCCAACTCTAATGTTCCCATACACTTCTGGGGGGATGCAATTTGTACAGCTGTTTACCTTATTAACAGGATTCCTTCACGGGTTCTAGGCATGAAAACACCACCTCCTGTATCCAGACAAAGACCTGTTCACTATTCCCCTCAAAACTTTTGAGTGTACTTGTTTTGTTCAAATCCTTGGACCTCATCACTCCAAGTTTGATCCAAAAGTTACTAAATGCATTTTCCTTGGGTATGCACAAAATCAAAAAGGATATTGCTGTTATGAGCCTGTTTCAGGGAAACATTGTGTCCATAGATGTCACATTTTTTGAGGATATGCCCTACTATCATAGGGCTTCTCCTCAGGGGGAGAGCAGTGAGGAAGGGATTTCAGTTTCAACCCCAAGAGTTTCGTTACCTGTTCCAATTACTGAGGGGGAGTGTCGTGAAGAGGGTTGTCAAAAGTGCAGGGAGTTCAAAGTGTATCACAGAAAGTGGTGGAAGCAAGTTGATTCCCATCCTCAGCAGCAGTCCAAGCTGATCCCAACATCTTCAACAGCCCCAAATCCAAACAGTACCATTGCTCCTACTATTGAGACAACCTTTGCAGATACTACAAATACTTTGCCTGAGCCTGACACTGTTGATCCTCAGCCTCCACCTTCTGATCTAGATCTTCCAATTGCAATTCGTAAGGGGAAGCACCGTTGCACCTCATCCACTGCCCATTGTATCTCTAAGTTCCTTTCCTATGATTGTCTCTCAGAATCCTATAGATCTTATCTGGCAAATATTGCTACTATTCCTATACCCAGAACGGTACAAGAAGCTCTATCGGTACCTGAGTGGAAGGAAGCAATGAAAGCAGAAATGGATGCTCTTGTTAAGAACAATACATGGGAACTAGTTAACCAGCCTGAGGGGAAGAAACTTGTTGGATGTAGATGGGTATTTATGGTAAAGTATATTGTTGATGGTTCTGTAGAGAGGTATAAGGCTAGACTGGTTGCAAAGGGATTCACACAAACTTATGGCATAGACTATATGGAAACCTTTGCACCAGTTGCAAAGATGAACACTATCAGAGTCATACTATCCATTGCTGCAAACTTCTCATGGCCACTATTTCAGATGGATGTGAAGAATGCTTTCCTCAACGGAGACTTACAAGAAGAGGTGTACATGGAGTTACCCCCTATTTTTACAATATAAAGCAGGAAAGAAAGTTTGCCTACAGAAGAAGGTTTTATATGGGCTGAAACAATCTCCAAGAGCTTGATTTGACAGGTTTAGACTAGCTTTGGAAAAATTTGGTTACACACAGGCTCAGTCACATCACACTCTTTTCTTTAAGAAAACAAACTCTTCCCTGACCCTATTGGTTGCCTATGTGGATGACATTGTGATAACAGGCAGTGATACTGGGGAGATTGAATCACTTAAAAACATCTTCACAAGGAATTTGAAGTTAAGGACTTGGGGGAATTGCATTATTTCCTGGGAATTGAGGTAGCTCGATCTAAGCATGGCATTTGTATCTCTCAGAGAAAGTATGTTCTTGACTTATTAGAGGAAACTAGAAAGTTAGGAGAAAAGCCTGCTGAAATACCCATTGAGCTGAACCATAAAATAAGTGCAGAGAATGGAGAACCACTTGAGGACAGAGCTATGTATCAAAGGCTAGTTGGAAAACTACTTTATCTTTGCTGCCTTGATTTGGACTCTTTGGGAAGAAAGGAATATTAGAATTTTTCAAGAAAAGGAAAGGAGCAGTCAGGAATTGAAAGACTGTGTG